TGCTCCCGGTGGGGTATCCACCCCCCAGCACCACTGTCTGCCCAGGCGGTGAGGACGAGGAGGAGGAGGAGGAGGAGGAGGAAGAGGAAGGAAGGCCAGGGCTGCGCCAGCTGCTGGTCCCCATCGCCCTGCTCATCTCTGACAAACCCATCATCATCAGGGATGGGAAAGGATGGGACCCGGTGCCAGAGGAGTCGGTGCCATAGCCATCGCTGGGATGGGGGTGTGGGAGGGGGATGCGGGTGGTCTCAGTGGATGCCAAACATCCACCCTGGATGCTGAGCACCCACCCCATGGGCTTGTGGTCGCACTGGTACTTCCAGGGGATTTTCTAGTTTCCAGGACATGGAAAGTGAGGCCTCCAGATGCAGCATTGCGTGGGGCCAGGATTTGGCCACGCAATTCCCAGCCTTTCCCTGATGATGAATGAGGGAAGGTGGCTGCCGAGTGTGGCCAGGGCTGGGGTGGTTTCCTAGGATGGATCAGGAGACGCAGAGCTTCATCCCGACTGGCTGCATCCTGCCAGGACCAGCATTGCCCTGGCGCCTGCGGGAGGGGGGCATAAAGAGCCTCAGTACCAAACACTGGCTACTTCCAAAAATTAAAAATTGTAAGATATGAAAAAATAAAAATATTAAGGATTAAATATATTAAAAACAAAAAACCATGAAAAATAAATTTATGAAAAAGAAATAGATGAAAATATGCAAAGATACGAAAAAATAAGTGTGAAAATAAAAACAAAAGCAAAATTTAAAAAAATAAATGCAAAAATTTAATACATAAATAAAACAAATGCACAAAGCAGCAGGGCTGCAATGGCTTCCCATGCCTGACCCAGGCAGATCACAGCACGGACTGGAGATGAGGGCGCTCCATGGTGCTGTGGGGGATGCAGCCAAGCAGTGGGGCCAGGACTGGGGATGACAGGGCCCTCCCAACGCCCTTGTGTGGGGCTGCGCCGGCGCCTTGGGCTTTATCTGGGGCAGAACCGGAGCTGCTGCCGAAGATGAGGAGCGGTTTGTGGTTTCAGGGGCCAGAGGTGTCAGCGTTTACTTGCTGAGAATGCAAAAACTATAAAGGTGAAAAAAATAAATAAGCAAGAAAAAATGGGGTTAGTAGCACGGGGAAGTCCGGGGAAAGGCAGTGCCACGGTGTCTCTGGTACACGGTGTCTCTGGTACACGGCTCAGCCTTCTCGCTGCTGGTTTTAGCCTCAGTCGTGTTCTGCGAGGGATTTCACCAAAACGCCACTTGCAGCACTGGCACACGTGGGTGGAAACTGCACCGACATCAACCGGAGATAAACGTCAAGGAGCACAACCGGAGCTGCATTTCGATACGTTCACCCCTCTGCCAGCCATGAGTGGGTCGGGATTTACAGCTCTTCCCGGAGCCCTGGGGACGGCGATCCCATAGCTGGGGGTCCTGGCTGTCTGTGTGCCCCCATATCCACCACTACCGTGGCCACCATGGCCACCTGTGTCCGGCACCACGTGTCCGAGGCATCTCAGTCGCTGGTGAAGCCACGAGGTGGCACCAGCCCTGCGTCCCCACGGTGCTTCCCCACCTTCTGGCAGAGCAAATCTGTCTTCCCCAAATCATGGGCCCATAAGTCAGCAGATTTGTACGGCAGCAACTATGACACACCGGAGTGAAGCCCCAGCCTCCACCCTTGCCTCCCAGCACCCCAAATCCTTAGGATCAGCTGGAGGGCCCCCACCTTCCCAACCCCAGAAACCTGTCCGGAGAGATCAGATTTAGGGATTTTACTTGGATTTGGGCTATGCTGGGCTCACTGTAGGAGTGCACTGAGTCAGCCATGTGCAGAGGAAGTATTCAGTTACTGGCTCGGCGCGAGCGCACTCAGGTTTCAGCCGCGGACCCTGTTTACAGCCCAGTTTTGGGGTGAAGGAAGCAGTGTCCCGGCTCGGCATGGGTAAACACATTGCCCAGCCCGGGGCCAGCGCTGCTGGGGATAATCGTTCTTGTTCAGGGAACAAGATGGTGCCAGGACAGCTGGTCCTCACCATGGCATTAAAAACACCCTGGGCAGAGGGGGGGACAGGGTTTCCCCCCATGATCACCCTTGAGGATTGATCCCACCCATGGCACTGCTCACGTCCCCCCAAAACCTTTGGGGACAGCCCTGTTCCCACTCATGGCCCTATGTGTTTTTCCCACATGTGTCCTGAGTTGGTCAGTGCTCTGCCAGGAACACAGCGCTGCTCAGAGCCCATGGTCAACGTGCACGGGAAAACTAATTAAGTTGGCCTCGCCAATTAGTGCGTGCGAGTGGCTCGGGACTTTCTAATTAGTTTAAATTTCACGGACTGCTTCGCAAATGAGTCTGCGGGAGCAGAGGGAGACCGCCGGGCCCAGCTTTCGCAGCCGGGCCGTGACCTTCCCTGCTCTGCCATCCGGATCCGACCCCGCGCCGGACCCAGACGTGCTGCAGGGCATCGGTCATGCTCGGTGAGAGCTGAAACTGCTGCAGCCTGAGAACAGGCAACTCGTTACACTCAACATGGGGCTCCTTCTAGGACAGCTCTGGGGTATGCATCAAAAGGCCACTGCAGTGGGGAAAAAAAGGGGTTTTTGGGTGCTCCCTGGGTGAGCAGAGTGGAGCAGCACCAGCCGCCTGCGCCCACGTACCCCAACACCTTTACGAGCTGCTAATTTAAGACCCTGCTGCCTTTTATTTTTAGAGGAGGACATCTAATTATGGCCTGCAACGCCTTTTTTTATATTGCTTGATATGCTGCCTATTTCTGTCCGGCTGCTTACGCCCACCGGCGCCAGCGCTGCCCAAATGCCACGGGTGATGGTACCCAAACATCCCTGAACTGAGCACTGAGCAGCTTTCCCTGCCCGAAAGGGAAAAAAATCTCCCCATATCCCCCTCAGTTCCCACAGGATCCCGGTGACATGTCCCCAGAAGGCATGGGGGTCTATCCCCACAGGTCCAGGCTGGTGTTTTTGGTACAGACAGGGAGGAAGGTGGCAACACCGCACCCCTTCCCACATCCCCATCCCTTTCCCAGCACCCATTTCTCCCTTCCTGCACCCAGCCCCACCAGCGCCCTGGCAGGGAGCGGGATTATTTGCTGGGCAAAAAGCCATCGCTGCCACCACCTACACAATGGCACCCGCTCCCGGTGGGGATTAGGTGACCATTCAGGAGCTGCTTTCACTTAATCCCTAAGCAAACAAACTGATCCCGAGGATATATTTCATTATTATTACTTTATTCTTTAAGGGCTGTGTTGTGCCCAGGGCCATACAGCACATCCACAACCCCCCAGCATTGCAAAACCCCCACGGCTGGGGTAGAAAAATCTCTGCAGCTGAGGAATTTCTGCTTTTCCTCCCTAAAAAAAGCTTTTGGGCTCCTTCCCTCACAGAAAAATGAATTTCTTCCCCAAAAACCCAAAAAAGTCCCCAAGCCGAGCATCCCAGGGCCCACAGCTGGACAGATGGCCGCCGGCCGCAGCTGGGCTTGCTCTTGTTTTGAAAGTCACGGGTATTTCAGTGCGGTTGTTTCGCAACCGTACAGTGCCACAACAACAACAACATGACGACTGGTGCAGTTTTACTTTGCAAACAGGGCCCGCAGCCACCCCGCACACCCGGCTCTTTCCTGCTGCAACTGCCTCACTCCAGCGAGCGTTATTTCCAGTGGAAAATGCCTCGAAGCAACAGCAAAATTGAATATTTAAAATTTTTCCCCCCATTGAGAGGGGATTGGGGTTGCATGGGATGCTCAAACCACTGCAAAATCCTCCTGGGATGTTGCATCCATGTGTTAGAAAACAAACTTTTCCTTTTGCCATGCAAGAAGCGTGCTGGCGATGGCAGGAAATATTTTAATTTTGCAGTTTTAATGTTTTCGGATGGCTGCTCTCAGGGCCGGCAGCCCCGGAGGGAGCTCAGCCTCTGGCACGGCTGAAGCTTTCCAGGCTTTGGCAGCACCTTGGCGCAGCGCAGTCACAACTATTGAATTTTTGTTGTGGTTTTTTTTTTTTCAACCGAAACCTTACGATAACAACAAAATAAATCATAAAAAGAGGGCGTTGGGAGCTGGGTGGCCGCCTCCATGCTCAGCCTTGGCTATCGGGTGATCGGGAAGGAAAGGACACGGCGCCCTTATCGGTGCACACATTTGCCTGCCCGCTTGGCAGAGGTTCGCGGCGTAAACATATTTTGCTTGCAGTGGGGTTGAACTGAGGATAACCAGCTTGGCAGGAACCAGAAAGCCCCGTTTTCCCACCAAAAAAAAATCCCATTTTTGCAGCAAAATCCCATCTGTGAATACAGGGACAGGGCTGACCCTGGGGGCAAACGACCCCCTAAGCTTTGCAGCCGCAAATCCAGGACCAAAAGCAATTCCCCAGCCAAATCCATGCCTCCTAGTGTTTACCAGTTTTACCAGTAAGCAGATGGACTTTCCTTCATTTTTTCGCACACAAAAGTGTCAGGAAAGCAGAGTGAACCAGTTCAGGGCCCCCCAGGATCATCTGGTGCAGCCGTGGCCACCATCCCTGCCACAGCCACTTCCAACCAGCTGGGACCCCCCCAGCCCTGGGGCTATCACTGGCTTCTTCGCTGAGCCAGGAGTTGGTGGCATTTACATAGCTGCTAAGCAAGAAAAATCCCTCACCCTGCTCCACAGAAACCCTTGCATTTAAAAGTAATGGGGTGCAAGTTTGCTAATGAGGTCGGGAAATTGGGGAGGGGGTTTCAGTGACTTGTGTGTGTCCCAACAAGCTGGCTCGGCCCCTTTTTATCCCCCGAAAGGGGTTTGATGCAAGTTTTTTTTTCTGAAATCAGCTCAAAATTGCTGTTTCTTGCAGGAAAGGGGAAGAAAAAAGAGAGCACAGCCCCGTTTTTGGAGACTTTGAGATTGGAAAGTGGGGACTGTAGCCATGGGGTATGCCAGGGTTACCCCTCACAAGAGTGGGGCCGAGATGGTGGGGTACGGGGAATGATGGGGGTGATGGCCCCCTTGTTCCTCACCTCCTGGCAGGGGACAGTCATGTCCCCAACCCACTGGTGCTGAACACCCCAGGGTTTTGGCTGCGGGGACATGCGGTGGTCAGGGCCTTGGATGTCACTGTGCCATGTCCTGGCTGGGCAAGCGGCATCGCCACGTGCCCTGGTTGTGTGCCTACGTGTCACGTGCTGCCGTCCAAAGACTCAGGAAGCAG